ACTCAATGGACCATTAATTGGAATTGTTGCCCCAAGGGTATTACCTTCGTGTAATGGGTTTAAAATTGGCTGTGAGCAAGGACAAGCAATTTTCCGTCATCAAAACCAACCACCATGTCGGGCCAACCCAGGGAGATTTAACGACAAACCTCTCAGTCGATGATATTGTCACTCATTGCTACCAAACTGGGTATGTTGTCGGAGTCCTAACTCCAAGAAACAACAATCACGGCGTCGGAGTCGCCATGGCCGTCACTGCTCAACCAAACCTTGCTCATTATCCCCAATCAGGTAACCTCTGCCAACAAAATACAGCCAGTTCACCCAGTCCTCGAACGGCTCATAACGACTCTCCTAAACTTGCAACCGGAAATCCGAATCTCGTCATTGATACTGAGACAGGAAGCGCCGAGAGCCTTGCCATAAGCTCTTCTGGCATTGGGTCAGAACCAAACAGTGACGCGGCCCTTAATGTCAACAGCATCATGCATCTTCAGGGCCAGTTTGAGTGTGTAAATCCAACCCTTGAGAGTCCCTATACCGCGGAGGATTTTGACCAGGAATTACGGACTGCTATGAACGAATTTCCTATCGCTCCTGACGACAATGGCTATTTTACTCTATTTAATCCCGAGCTTCGCAACCCTGTATATATCTACAACCCTTATCGTGTCCAAAGCGACTTCGACCCTTACGACATTGGGCAGTACATTGACATGTGAGCACTCCAAACTAAAGGACCCGGCTGAACATAGTACTTAAGTGCAAAGAGCCGCTCTCGAATTAATTGCATATTGGATGGGGGGACGCGCATATATGGAGTTTCGGTGTGATAGGAACGGCTAAGATATTATTGAATTCAGTGTCAATATTGGGTGTATTTAAAAATTGTGATGATATCCTTGGCGCGGCACAATCGTTTCTTTCGAAACACAGTTTAGACCAAATAAAAAATGTTTCAAAAGCTCAAACTAGTATTTTTTCCAGCATGAACCTCGAAGAGGCCATATGCAGTGTGCGGCGCGTAAACCCATGAACTGGGCAAACAAACAAGGGCTTGGGAGAAAAGTGATTGGCCTGGGGCGAGTCACAAGGGTCTACGAGTGGTTGGGATAAAGTTCTGTGGGCTGTCTGAAAGCGGGGCAACCGCTGCGGACAAGTGGATACAGCCACCGATCGTACCAAGCTCCTGACACAACTAGCGCCAAGCTTCGCTGCGTCGCTGGTTCATCGAAAACTAAAACGATTTTGCACCAGCGAGTAGGCATCAGTATAATTGCTTTCTTTGTTTGCAAGCGGCCCTGAGCGCTGTGAGCTCCTTACCTTTTGTCGCCCGTAACATGCTAGCTCAGCTGTATTATGTACGATACGTCATGTTCAGTACCTCTCTGATACATACATTGTCACATGCTCATGCGACTAGCTACTGGGCTCGATCACCACCTGCGCCATGCTGGTAGTCGAGGGGACAAACCAATCCAACCCCTCTAACATGGTAAATAAGTACTTGTGGACCCTACAAAGCATTCAATGTTTTGTTCGGAGGATTTTTAATATGACATAAGTAATTTTATTTGTTGCATTCGTGCACGATAAACTTGATGTTGCAAATGTAATAAATTTGTTCGCATTTTAATAGAGTGTGAGTCTGAAAAGTATATGAGGAAAATAATAAATGCTAATACATAAGCAGGGAGCCAGAAATGCTTTGGATGGAATTAATTCATCACCATAGGATCTGCCCTAGAGATCACGCCGTCATTTCCTCAACCGCCAACCTAATAAACGATAGTATATTGATTGTACCGATTCATTCTCATTCCGGGTTGAAATGTTCCTCTTGTTAATTAGCATTCTAATATTGCAAAAACTTATACTGAGCATCATTGATTCCATTGCATGTTAATCAAGTTTCAACGATGCCTTCGGTTTAGGTATCGCAGCTCTAAGTTGTCTCGTCCCCTCTTAATTTCACTAACAGTCCCAGCAATATGGAGTTGACCAGCGCCCCCACAACTTCTCCCAGTGCGCCAATGTACACTTCACCACCTACAAACAAAGAAAAGAGGAGAAATTTCTCAAGTGACGCCTAGTGGCTGTATGCAAAACCAAAATGGGGTAAGGAAATATGGCCTTGTGCCCATCTGCGTCTTCATCCAAGAATTTATATATCATCACACATTAACCGTGTAGTGGTGGAAGTTTTGAATATCGAGAATTTGGTTGAGTTGAATATATTTTTATCAAAGTCAATAGCATCCACATGGATGGAGTGAAAGTTGGCAGTCACGCTTCCCGCTAGGCTTTAGCCATCAGCCATTAGTCGAAAACCTCCTACTGTAACACTCAAGACCACTAAATTACAGGTTGTGAACCACCCGTTTGTTGAGGTTTGTTGATGGCATTCTTACAGCCCAGTGGTGCGCCTAAGCGTCTGCTGGGATACCAGCCAAACACACCCTTTTACCAAGGGCTCCCACAATGTTGTTGTTGTTGTTGTTGTTCTTCATATTTTTTTCTAAGGCTATATGCAGTCTGAGACTATGACAGCCTACACCTCACTAGCCTACCCTTACAGCTACTCTCCAGTTACATTTCCCTATTCATAAGGGCTCCCACAAGGCTGGCGGACCTTCGTTATTTGCTCACATACACACACATTTCTCCCCGATTTAAATGGCATCTCTTAGGATATCAATTACTCCAAAGGGGAAGCTTGTAGTTATTGTCTTACTATGACTTGACCAAGATTTACATTTACTGTAAATCCACGAACACAAACCAGCTCTTCCGAAACGAGTGCTACAATCTCCTCCTAGGTTACTATGTAGACTTGGTATTTAATTAATTCACCTAGCTTTAAAACTTTTATATACACATATGTACAGTTCATTTCACTTGAAATCGTAGCAAAGGTAGCCTCCAAGATCGTAGGAAAACCAGGTTTCATTGCTCTCTTTTCTCATTTCCAAACTACGTTTTCAGTGCCGGCTCTACACAACCAAATCGGCGGCGGTCGTTGTCTTTCACTCTCTGCACCACGCCAAACATGCAAAGAAGCAGTGAACTGGATCTCTTGACTAGTTCAGCGCCAGCCCAAATATGGAGATATGAAATGATGATGAGGCAGTTTTTCTGAGAGAATGGGGAGAATCCTCATCGATCAGTTCAGGCTAACGCCACACGAAGCTCAAAAGTGACAGGTTCTGAAGGTAAAAGAAAATCGTGTCGAGGCTCTATTGGACCTAACTCACATTTGTGATGTATGTCGTTAGTTCAAAGCGATCTTCGTTCCAAAAAAAGGGAAGAGCGCTGAAATTCTCAAAAAAAAAAAAAAAAAAATAAAAAATAAAAAAATAAATGCTTGGACCACCAGCCGAGCTTCGTTGTTACATGAAATTAGCTACCGAGGCTACTTGCTGGCTAAATAATAATATTAAGCAAGCGAAAAAATATGCCCCGCAGAAGACTTAAAAAGTTCCTTGTGGAACAAAATCCCTAGGCTAATGTCAGGGACCTAATGTAGCCGATATTTTGCGTATATCTCGTCAACCAAAAAATGGCCTCCTATACGTTCTCTATATGTAGCTAAGTCATTTTCTACCCTTGATGTTGTTGCAAGGGCTCAAGTTGCACGTTTCAAGAAGACCGCCAGAAAAAGAAAAGCATGAACGGCTCGAAAGCTGATTGTTATCTGGGCGCGGAATGATGCAGAAGAAACATACTGCATACTCAATAGTGTCGTGGACAAATGTTTGTGGGGTTGTTTGTTTGCTCAGGAGCAGGAGTTTGTTTGTGGTCAAAGAGGCGTTTAATTAAAGTGGGGGCCCACGAAGAAGCAAGGAGGGATGCGAAGGGACGTTCGACATTTGCAAGGTCTTATCTGCAAACGGGGTCCGAGGGGCCACTATATTTTATCGGTCGGGAGATCTTAGTGGGAGAACGATAGGGCTGGGCTGGTTCAAAAAATATATATATACTTTAAATCATTCTTCTTTGGGAAATTTGATACTTTAACCCGCTAGCTAGTGGGGAAACGGGCCAGGTTACTAAAAACCAAAAACAAGAAAAGGAAAGAAAAAAGTAAAATCCGTCGCTAGGATACATACTGGATGCATATGTTTTGAAAAATCGCAATGAGGGGAGGGCAGGAGATTTTAACAAATACGTAGAAGACAGAAAACTACACATTCTATTCCATGTATGAAATTTTGCGCATCTCGCCGAGCCGCTGCCGTGCCTGCGCGAGGCTGTTCTCGAGTTGAAGGATCTCGACCTGAAGTTTGACAAACATAACGGTTAGTAATGTGCTGCGATGTAATGTACAACGAATTACGTATAATGATGGAAGCTCAACTCCCCACATTCCAGAAAACTGGATTGGAATGCAGGGACAGCAGCAACGGTGTTGTGCCTTGTGGATAGCGATCGGGCTGGGGTTGTCTGGGCATGGATGGGCAAAGTTTATGCATGCGAGAAGTATATAGGGGGACAAAGAAAAGTATAAATCCAACAAAGAAACAAATAGAAAGTACCAAAACATACCTGCTGCTCCATCTCTCGAACCTTGAATTCGTGGCCGCTGAGTTTTGTGTAGTCGACGGCCTCGTTCTCATCGCGGTTCTTTTCTGCAATGATACTCTGAACCTGCCGCACCAGACTCCTGCATGCAGCGCCTACAGCTTTGCTGGCAGTTTCCAGTCGATCTTGCGTCTTGCTCATAAAAGTTGCTTTGACTCGACTGGCAGCAACTAGCTGTGCCGTGCTGGCAGCAACATCGTTACTGGCGACGATCAACTGCTCGGGGGAGTTCCGTCCAGATATGACGCCGTCTGCCGTCTCGATTAGGGTGTTGGTGGAATTGGCCACAGCCTTCGCCGCAGAGATCAACCCTTCCGTCCAGCGATTGTTTTTCTTGTAAAATGCAGTTCTCGACGAACTGCCGCGACCCTCCCGGACGATCTCTTGTTGGGATGCAGTTGCAGCTTTAATCAACTCCGCAATCGCAGAAGTAACTGCAATAGAGGCCTCGAGGATAGAGTCATGGATACGGAGCTCGTAGGTAGAGTATCCATCGCGTGGCTTTTTCTTTAACTTCGCGAGCCTTTCGGCGGCAGCTTCGATTGCGTTGGCAGCATTGGTAAGTTCGCGGTCTACAATGTCTCCTAGATCGCCTGTACCACTAAGCTTGCTGCCCTTCGGAGTAAATGCATCGACAAGTTTAGAGAGTTTCTGCAAATTCATGAGGACTTCGTGGTTGTTGTTGATGACCACGTCTGTCTTCTGTAAAGGCTCTAGTCCCTCTAGACGGAACGACTGTAGGGAGCGGAAAAATTTGACAGTGGACTGCGCAGATTGTCGTGCCGCACCCATTAGTTGGTCTGCCTTCTTGTCATCGGTAGCAAACCGTAACAAGCCCTTTGAATTGCTAAGCACATCTGCGGTCGACCCGGAAAATATGCTGACGGTCCGAATGATGTCTGCGTGAGCACTGTTGGGTCCATCCGCAATGTAATTGTTGAAAGAAGTGGAGAACTCTGTTGCACTTGCAGAAGCCTTCTCGATCTGTGAAAGAACATAGGAAGCGGATGCATTCTGGTTTCCTGCCTGCATGCTCGAATCTAATTCGTAGAGAGCATCGTCGACTCGTTGGATACCGCTCTGAAGCACGGAGTCGATAATATCGTTTATTTTCGCAATAGAACTATGGAGGACGTCGTCAATTTGGTTGTCAAGAGCATGATCAGCGTCTCCTTGGCTCTGCAAAGCTATGTTAGCCATAACCATTTGACTACGCACGCTCACCCATTTCTACATACCAACTTCAATTCTTCCAGCTCCATTAGCGCCTGCTCCATTCCAGACTTGTATACTTCGATTTCCTCATCCTTCTCCTGCAGGGCTTTTTCCTGGTCTTCATTTCTTTCCCCGTGAGTCGCTTTGATCTCTTCAAGTGCTCGTGATTTATTCTACAATAGGTTAGCTTTGAGACGACCGGGAGCGAACATGGAAGAGTGGTAGATTAAAGCTTACCCGAAGAGACTCTTCAAGATCAGCCATCTCCCTATTGTACTTGGACAACAAAGCGGAGATTTCAGATCCTTTAGCACGCTCCGCATTTTCAGCTCGTTCGATAGCAAGACGGAGCTCCCGTTTTAGTTTTTCGACTTCCTCGCGATTCCCACCAGTAACACGGTCCTTCTCATGCAAAGCCCGATCACGTTCTCTAATCATATCTGCAAGCTCCAAGTTCTTCGTCTTCATTTCACGCTCCAGTCGCTCTCGCCTCTCGATAGCCTCCTGTGCAGATGCCGCCTTGAGTTTCAGGGATTTCGTCGTCTGCAGCAGATCAAGATGTTCTTGTCGAAGTTGTGAGTACAGTTTCGCCAGGGCTTCGTATTTTGTCCGCCAGGTGTTGACTTGTTCCTGTAGCGCTCTAATTTGGTCATCCTTGGATTGTGTCTGCAGACTATAATTCGAATTTAATTGATTCAGTTGTTCCTCCAGGTCCTTCATTCTCTTGTCATATTGCTGGAGCAGGAGCTGGTCCCGTTCATACTGTGCACGTGCGTTGAGGTTTTCTTGCTCTAGTTCAGCTAGTCGACCTTGCGTCTGCTGTTGGTATTGCGTTTGTAACAACTGCTCTTGGGCTAATCTTTGCTGCTCGGCTTGTAATCTTTGTTGCTCCTCGAATTCCCTTTGCGCTTGTTGTTGGGCGAGGAGTTGTGCACGTTGTTGTTCCTCCCATTGCTGCTGTAATCTCTGTTGCTCATTTTCGTACTCCTCCTGTTGACGTTTCGACTCGTTCGACCAGAAATCATTGATAGGCTCTGGATCGGGAACCGTTACTGTTTTTGGAGCTGGTGTAGGCTCTCTCTCGACTTCCTTAGCTGGTCGCTTCGGGAGAGCTGGGCGTTCCTCGTCTTCCGCAAGGAGGTTTGGTGGCTGCTGGGGGAGTTTCGGGACGGTGATCAAGCTAGTAAGGTAGCGAAGGTTGGAACATTCATAATAAAACCGAACAAGTCTATGGTGTTGGGCATTATAACGGCCACGCAGAGGTTCCAATGCCTCTTCGTCTCCGGTGGCTGTGAACGTCCGTTAGCGTTGGTCATCATTTATAGCGATAATTCTTGCAATGGTTGCCTACTTGTATGCATAGCCCTCAACATGCTCGTTATGAATTTGTATATTCCATAGCTCTCTTGGACGAGAGGCACCAATGCCGAAATCCTACATTCATTGTTGGTGCTCTGGCGGAAATGTGAAAATATAAGTTTCTGGAAAGCATCGATTTGATCCTGGAGGGTCATAAGATCTGTGATGGTTTCGTAACTATGCGAGAGTTAGAAATTGAGAAAGCTGGACGTGGGAGATTGGCGCGGTAGGCATAATACCCTTCGTTCGGATCATTTGTTGTTTTAAGACTAATGTATTCCTCATACTCGAATAGACCTAGTGGTTGACAGTCGCGTTACTAACTGACTCAAAAATCCCTTGGCTGGGAGTGAAATAGAATGGCAAGGAGCAGCTTACCGTTGAACTCAGGATGTTGACGGTGAAATGTCAATTTCGCCTCCAAAAAGTATACATATTCCTGATCAATGGACCGTACCCTGGTAGAATCCAGAAGTTTTAGCATCTAATGAAAAAATAATCTAGAAATGTACGAGCTTCCAATGTCCGATAGCCCATTCCAGTCCACGAACTAACAAGATATGACAATTACCTCGAAGCCCCTCGCCCGATACACCTCTACTCAAACTCTCCAACCAGCCAACATGCGATTGTCCTTCCTTAACAGTGATCGGATGCCCCTCCTGCAAAACCTTATGAACCGTAATTAACGCTTTGAACGTTTGGACCTCGTCGGCAAGGATTGGTTGGCTAGGAGTAGAATAGAAATCAAAATGGTTACGTTAGATTGCGATCGTGTGGGAGAGCGATTAGGGATATGGCAGCGTAGGTGGTAGTTCCAGGACAAATTGATAACAGCGGGGCACAGCCACTTACACTTTCATGCCCGCCCAAAAACTCGTCGACGATTTGTGGTCCCACGTATAAACAATACAACTCCGGACATGTTTGCCTAAATCACAGGTTAGTTCAAACAACCGAAATCATGATCAGGCAGGTAGGTGTCTGGACCGGCGTCGGGCGGGGGAAAGGTTAGATGTAGAAACATACGTTTAGGCGCGGTCTCCTCTGTTCATCAAAGCATAACGGATTAGTTTCAGCATATTGTATATTGCGATAACGCAGCAGGTTGAATCTAGACTGGCGAAATCATACCGATGCTTGTGGCTTTGCGGATATTTACCGCGAGATCCGCTTCTGTCCTATCACAACTGTATCAGCCACAGTGGTTTATAACATCATCTCCCTAAGGAACTCCTGCTAAAAACGATGCGGGACCCAAAATCCACCATGGTTAGTTACCTGCTCATATCGATATTCCGTGCGGCCACCGAATTGTAGGCGAGGGACATCGTCGAAGAGGTTGAAGGTGTCGTCAAGCGGAGTACGGAGCGAAGTGGGTTCAAGCAGGGGTACAGTCAGCAGCAGCTCGTTCTAGTTCAGTCAGCAGTAAGAGCTGGCGCGCAGCTGCAACACGAGAGGTCCAGTGAAGCAAAACGAATAACAAAAACAATAAAAGAAAAGGATGATAGACAAGAACAAACTGAAATTCTAATAATGTCCTGCGCAAGAAATTAAGTTGCCTGGAGGAGTTTGGAAACCAATTTGGAGTCTAGCTGAGTCAGCCACGCGTTCTCTTGGCTTCGTCACCCATTCTCGATGCCTGGTAAGTAGATGAATGTCTGAGATGCGATTCTGGTGACTACTTGGCTTGTTCAGATTCTTTGCAGGGGACTGGGTAATGTGAGATCAATATTTGATGTCCTTCACTTTCACCTCAGTATACCTTCACTTCACATCCCATTCACTTATATCGCGCGCAGGAATGATACAGTGTCGACTCCAAACTCTCATGGTGCCGTTGTTTGACGAAGGTTTCAATTCCGTCCTACATACTTATGCAGAATTGGATGCGACATTTTGTCCAATCAATGCTCCAAAGCGTATGGAGCAAGCTTTAAGTTCTATTCATTTTGCAGGACAATGGGATGGGGTTATACAGTTGCCCTCCCCAACTTCCGCCAAACAGCTATCGAGAAATTAAATGCATACAAGTATTCTTGAAATGATAATGTTGATTACAATCTAATTTCATCTACTATCTAAGCCAGGGCGGTATAAATAATCTAGGTAACGCCGTTACATCGCCGGTAATTCCAGCTACGCCTACCAAAAGGTGTAGATAATACGAAAACCTATACTCCAAGTAAAGAATAGTCAATGACAAAATCTAGGAACCAAACTCCTTTCTGATGAATGGCCCCCATGAATCTTCCTAAGAAAGCCGAAAGGAAATGAAAGTAAAGGAAACGGAAAAGGGAACGGAAGAATGAAGCTAAATAAATTCGCATGACGCCTGGATAAGGTGGGCAGAACGACACAAAAATGATACAATGAGCAACATGTAGGAATATGGCTCACGGATGGAGAAGGATGTCTGTTTGTTCATTGTAAGTTAGTACAGAGGGGGGGGTTGCTATCGCCTCATCCTTTGAGGGCATAGTTCCTGTCGATTGCGTGCCGTCTTCCTGTGCTTTCAAGTCACTGTCCTTGCTGTTCTCAGCACCAAGTGACTCTGCAATCGTTGATACTGAAGTGTTATGTTCTATTGGAGGCAAATAACTTTCCACGAAGTTAGTGTTCTCCTTTTCTTTGTCGTCAGGAGAAAAATCAGTAACTGGTGTTGTGGGTTCTGAGCCAAGAGGGGCTTCGATGATCAAAAGCTCGTCAGACATTTGTTCTTGGCTTTTCTTTGTGGATGAGCCAGGACGACTTGGAAGTGGAGGATTAGGTACAGGACGAGAAGCCTTCTGCGGTCGCTCAGGTAATAGCGGCGGGGGTAATGGTTTACGTTTCGGTATGGAAGGATTAGACAAGAAGCCAAACTTGTCTGGAAGCGGAAGAGGTGTGCCTGGTGGAGGTAGTGGGTGTCCCCGCCCAATAGGATGATCTGGCATTAGTGTTTTGTTCTCTCCTTTTAAAGACGGCTCTCCATTCCGTTTAAGAACATTCAAACCCCATTTTCGCGCAGCAGCGGCTGCCGACCCTATTGATCCTATAACTTGTCGTTCAGGGGTTTTATTATTTGGAACGTCAACTATAGGCTGAGATCCAGAGGTTTTGTTTTGTTTGTTCGTCTCACTTTTTAAAGAAAAGCTTGAGCTTCGTGGACTACCGGATATAGACAGCGTAGCTGGTGAAATACTATCGCGCGTCGAAGGTGTACGGGGTGTAATATCGATTGGTCTGGTCTCGTCGGATATAGTGCTGGATCTGGGTGACACCTGTTTTCTGTGCATTGAGGATGCTTCTTTTGGAGGTGAGCCAACTGGCGTTCCTGTGGGAGAGTTTGGCTGGGAGCGGTTAGATATCTCAATCATAGTGGCTGTTGCATCTTTTTCCTCCAATTTCGAATCCCAAACGGAATGGTCTACTTTCACGGTATCTGCTGTGACGACAGGATCGGCAACATGTGAGAATGTTCGGGATCGGATAGCTCGAGGGGGTTCCAGTCGATTTGCTCTATCCATGCCAGAGGAAACCGACGAACCCAATTCTCCCAGCTGCGAGGGTATGGATTTCGAACCTCTTCGACTCGCTATGGCTGACGAAGCTGACCCAGGCATTGAAGGCGGAGCCATGGTGGCATCAGTATTATTGGGCACGGGAACGAGCGGAGAAACCGGGTCAAGGGGTTCTTGTTGTGCTTCAGGTTCGTCAGGGATCACAGTTTTCGGCGGGCGTTTTGGGGGGTGATGCCAAATACCACCACGGAAGGTTTCGTGTTCGGTATCTAGGAATGGTATATCGTCCCAGAATGGAAGGACTAAACTTTCCGCAACGACTTCCCTTATCCTGCTTTCGATGGCACGAAGAATCACACCATATGTAATCTGTCTGGTACTGACTATGGGCTCTATTGACATTTCCATATGAGGCATGCTTTCAAACGAAACCCAGAGCCGATTGCTAGGAGGGGGTTTAAATCGTAATAGGCCATGACCCTTGAGGTTCTTTAACACAACCGCCAGTACTAGGTCAACTTCTCGAGGTTTGAAGCGCGTACCAAGCTCGATGCGAGCTGTAGCTGCCACCTCTAGGCGAAAATTTCCACTATAGTTAACATCTGCCTCAACGCAGCAATCTCCATCAATAGTAAGATCTCTGAGTCTAGGGTTAGTAATAAGCGGAGCCCCTTCCCCAGCATCGAAGTTTTGGAGAGAAATTTTGGTGATGAAATTAGGCTTCGTCACTCGGGATA